AAAAAAAAAAAGAATAAGTAGGTATTCATGAACCAAAGAATACTAGTTAACTATATGACAGATTCTATTTCAAGTATTTAACATAATTCATGCACTCCTTTTTCGCTTAGCTGATGAATTGAAAAGATAGTTTAAAACAAATGTAATATTAGCTTACTTCCCCTCCCCGCCCCCATTTTCAATATGTTAAGCAACATGCAAAGCACCAAAATGGAATTAAGGTTTTGAGTGAAAAAGGGAAAAAAAGCAATGTTGAAAGACAGCAGCGATCTCATTTTGTACCTTCACTAGTAGGTTTTAACCCCAAAGAGAAGCTTTCCTTAAACAAGATGCATCTGTGGGTTGGATTAGGCGTTATGCTGTTAACTTCAAGTTCAGTGGTTGAAGCCCACCAGCCAGCCACTCCTGGAGAGAGAGATGGGGCTGTCTGCTCCCATAGACTTACAGTCTCAGAAACTCTATCTAGGGTCAGTGAGAGTGATGGTTTTGGTTAACCTGTAAGCATGACTTTTTTTTCTTTTTTTTTTTACATTTTACAAAAGTATGTTTTTATCAATTTTCTAAAATGCCCTAATTGATTTGTTCAAAATACAGACTGATTACTTCCCCTTCCTACCAAAATCACAGAAAACGGGTAGGATTCTATTAAGCATCAAGAAAGCAGTAGTCCAGTGTTCTCGAGCGCACACACACATGCAAGCCATGCATGCTGGCGGAGTTTCAACAGGTATCATGTACCGTCAGTTGACACAGAGGAGGAGGGAGTTGTGAGACAGAAATGAGAATAATGATGCATTTGGAACAGTTACTCTGGGTCATTTGCCTCCACCTCCACTCAACCCCACTACTTCACAAATAGGAAGCCTAGCAGCAGTGTTGATTTACATGCAAAACCCACCTCTGATTTTTAGAAAAATTCAATATTCTACATTGAAAAGTATTATATTATTTCATGCTCCATAGAAAAGTGGGGGAGGGAATAGGTACCTCTTTTTCTGCATTTCACCTTTAATTAATCTTCACACCCTGATTCCTGAGTTCAGGAATGAAAAATTAAAAAAAAAATTTTTGGAGGAAGGACAAAACCACAAAAGAAAATTATAAAAGTTTTAAAACAAACTAAAAAGATTCTTTTCAAGATTTGTTTCCTAAGTAATTGGATTTTTCCCCACTTTCTTTAAAAGTTTTAAGTGCTACCCTCAAATCCATGACCATATGGCATATTATAAAAATAAGCAACTAGAGATAAAAGAAATGCAAAGATGAATTTGGGGATTTGGCCTCTTCCAGAGAACTCAAGTTCTGCGGCTCCCCAGCTTTCCAAAGTGATCAGGTTTCAGAAACACCCTGAGCTAATATACAGTCAACTAAACAAAAGAAACTGTTAGGTAGGCCAGCAGGACTGCGGGATGTCCATTAACGCATGCCCAGAGGGTCAAGCTAGGGGAAACAAAGGAGTGCGCACCGCACATGTTCAGGGTTCCGCCGGTAGGCAGGGGTGGGCGTGAACTTGAATTGGATCACCTAGCCAGGTAAATTCAATTCAGCCAATGGGGTCCACCACGCCTCCCTGTGGAATCCTTGAAAAGGCAGAAGCCCGGAGGGGAGGGAAGACAAGAACCCAGACGGAAGAACTTAGAACGGAGGAGGGAGAACTCAGGCGCAGAGAGCTTTGGCAAGCTTTGCGGGACCGCAGAGCCGCTTCCAGCTAGGCCACAAGTCCAGGAGGAGCCCCTTGGGTGCCGTGTAAACCTGAAACTTCTTCTAACTCATAAAACTCACTGCAATCACGAACCAGGCTTTGGCGTGAATTCTTTCTCGCGCGGAGCCAAGGACCGAGGTATAAATCTAGCTCCAGAGAGATCTAACAAAACCACAGCCCATGGTTTATGGACCAGGAACTCAACTCATATTTGGAGGACACAATTCAATCAATACTTACTATTAGATATTTAGTAAAAATACTACATAAGCTGAGCTGTATAGCTGGAGTTTTAAACTGACTTTTTAAATTAATATTTTACTGGGTTTTCAGTGAAGGTTTACATAGCTGGTTCAGTTCCCATTCAACTAGTTCTACACAAAATGTTTGGGTCATTGGTTACATTCTCCAAAATGTCTGAACACCCTTCCTATTTCCATTCTAGTAGTTATCTTTCTACTTAAGTTTCCCTTCCACGCTCATCTTTCTTGTAAAGAAATTGTTCAGTTTGGTCTCATATTGGTGTTTTTTTCCCCATTTAAGGAGCCTAGTATTCAAGTACTTAATCAAGGAAGTTTGTTGACCCACCCATGCAACTCCGGGCTGTGGCTTATGGGGAAGTAGCATGTCCTTTGGGCATTTACTCGCAGCACTAAAGGAGCTTTGTAGCATTCTTCCACGCAGGACAGAGTCCAAGGAGCAGAGGGAGGTCTGCCCATGGGCACAATTGAGAAGAGGTACTCCGAACCAGAAAAAATATATTCTGAGCATTTCTTATCCTGAACTGTACCCTGTTAACTTC